CGTACGGTTGTGCTGATTAAATTATACATGCTTCACAAAGTCAAGGGGTTCCTTTATTGTTTGTGTCTAGTATATATAAAAACAAGAGTCCAACTGAATTTATTTTTTATGAATATATTATTTGTATATTTCTAAATAAAATAACTTTATCGACAATATTCACTAAAACCTACCAAAACGTCACAAACATTTCACCACCGATCTAACCTGAGTACTTTCTTATTTAAGAAGGTACTGAGCTCTCATTTCTATGGTGGGTATGGCACTTGTGTAGATCGGCTGTATATGGAGTGCCGTTAAGGTGTACTTACTCTGTGCGAAAGGACACTAGGATCTACTTACTATATGCAACAGGTATATAATGTCCACTAACTCCATATAGGAAGATATCAATGTGAACCAGGGTGGTGGGGTAGCTCAGTGGTTAAAGCGTTCGCTCCTCACGCCAAAGACCCGGGTTCGATTCCCCACATGGGTACAATGTGTGAGGCATATTTCTGGTGTCCCCCGCCGTGATGTTGCTGGAATATTACTAAAAGCGACGTCAGTCCATACTCACTCACTCAACACATCGGTCATTGACTGTACTAATGTGAGCGGACAACAAGAGGGGAGCGAGTATGATTTTCTGCCCCTTGAAGAAATATTCCAGCAATATAATGGTACATGTAGGTGCACAAGGTAAGGCGTTTACACATTAAACTCACATGAGGAATCGAACTCGGGCCGAGTCCCTCACAAAGGCGTATTCACTGTGAGATGGCATTATGACAATCTCATTATTATCAGATCATTTTGCCCAATAGGATACCTCCGTGCTTTAAGACCCGAGCACCCCTCCATAAAAGGTCGGGTCACGCGTGTTCTTGGGCCAATAAGGTGTCAGCTTTCTAAAGATGATCGGGCTTTATTTCTTTGCCAATAATCGGAAACTTTGGTTTCCACATATGAAAGCCACAAAGAAGACAAACTTGTCCTTCGATTTTACTCCCCATGGTAAGCGCAGATACCATGTCGCTCAAGAATGGGTGCATCATAAATCATAAACAATATAACGGCGAGGCTTTATTTGTTTGGAGTCGGAACTCCCCGACTATATTTATTTTCTTGGGACAGATATCAGATATGTTTGTCTGCATACTTCGCTCCCCCGTATGGAGAGTTTAGATGCTTCGACCCTGACTGACTGATACTTGAGTTCACCTGACACAACCTCCTGTGGAGGTACAAGGGGGATAACTCTGTGGCTACAACTTCTATTTTATCCCAACAAATTCCAAATGCCATGAAACAATAAAAGGTCCTCATGTCGAGGTGTCCTCCGATCTTCACACATGAAATTATATTATTGGAGCATAAGGTCTGATGATAACTGTATGTGATAGGGTATTAAGATGTCTTACACTCAGAGGGGCTGTGGGGTAGCCTAGTGGTTAAAACGTTCGGTCGTCACGCCGAAGGCCCGTGTTCAATTCCCCATATGGGTACAAAGTGTGAGGCAAGAGGGCAGAGAGATGTAATGGATGCATGTTTTGGAGCACAAAGAAACACTGACCTCATGTGAAAAGGTTCACAGTTGTACAAACACTGAAATGTCACTTCTGTGAAATGGCTGTTCGTGAGGTGCCACTCAACTGTACAGACCCGTGTGGGCACAAAGATTAACTACCTACATATGGTGGGATATAATCATAAGGATCCAGTGTATATGATGAGGATCCGTGAAGATCTGGGTTGTAAGAGGCGACTAACGGGATCGGGTGGTAAGGCTCGCTGACTTGGGTGACATCGTATCCCAATTGCGTAGATGTTCATGCTGTTGATCACTGGATTGTCTGGCCCAGATTCGATTATTAACGGACCGCTGCCATATAGCTGGAATATTGCTGAGTGGACACCTGAAATGGACATCACACATTGTACCCATGTGGGGAATCGAACACGGGTCTTCGGCGTGACGGGCCAAAGCTTTAACCACAAACGAACGAACACACATGTCATGTTGACAATAGTATTTATGAATGACTCCCAATTCACTTGAATCTATCCTAGCCAACTACATAAACAATTGTCCAGTCCTCCTGTGTCGCCCCACCCCCACCCCCAACCCCTACCCCCAATGATAACAATAACGATAATAAAGATTAAACCTCCACGATGGTCAAGTTTTCTTGTTTTCCTGACACAAGTAGGTTAAACACCCGACATTGTTTTATGATATGCCTTATAATCTACATGGCATCGTATCCCAATTGGGTAGATCGATGCTCCAGCTGTTTATCACTGGATTGTCTGGTCTAGACTCGATTATTTACAGACCACCACCATATAGCAGGAAGATTGCTGAGTGCGGCGTTAAACAACAAATCGACAACAAAGAACTGACTGACTGAATTTAGTTTTACGCCGCTTTTAGCAATATTCCAGCAATATCACGGCGGGGGACACCAGAAATGGGCTTCACACATTGTGCCCATGTGGGGAATCGAACCCGGGTCTTCGGCGTGACGAGCCAACGCTTTAACCACTAGGCTACCCCACCGCCCCAACAACAAAGAAAGAAACACACGTTGAACCAAGGACAGTGCCAAATAGGATCGGCTCCACATCCCAAAACTCGGCCATAACAGCACCATGGTATTGGATCAACACAATGTGTCAACATACCACGACTAATGGGCGGTATTGGCATGAGAGAGTTAATGCGTTTTCAATTTAAGAAATATTTTCACATTGGTGTGACTACGAGTTGGACGTACGCTTGAAGGAAAGCACAATAGCCGTAATCTGGTAATTGCTGGAAGGCTGAATACGTACTCCCAGCAATGTATCCGACTACCGTCGGGCGAGCGTACCTTACGGCAGGACTTACTGTCAATCCCATAATGATATGTGTATTGCTTCGCCCATAGGTGTCTTGCATGGAGAGCTGACAAGCAGTGGCAGATATTTTGTAATGCGGGCTGTCAGGCATATAGGGGTTTTCCACGTGACTGGGCCTTCGAGCACATGACCGCCGAGGGGGATAACCTCTAACCTCTTCCCATTCTACCTGGCTAAATACTCGAAAATATATGTCACAACATCTTGAGCTCGTGTCGAAACAGCGGTAACGGCAAATGTGAGAAGGGGACAGGAGGGAGGCGGGAGGGAGGGAAGTTGAGGTAAGGGCTTGGAGAGAGCGAGGGATAGCGAGGAGAGAGAGAGAGAGAGAGAGAGAGAGAGAGAGAGAGAGAGAGAGAGAGAGAGCAAGATGATTGTGAGAAAGAGAAAGAAAGGATGAGAAAGCGAGGGACACGAAGAGTAGAGAAAAAAATCACATATAGAAAGAGAGAGCGGGATAATGAAGAGAGTCTGACAGAGAAAGAGAAAAGAGTGGAAAAATAAGAGATAAACTGAGAGAGATACGGGAAGAGAGAGAGAGAGCGCGAGAGCGAAGGATAATGGAGAGAACGTGACAGGGAGAAAGAGAAAAGAGTGGGAAAATAAGAGATACGGGAAGAGAGAGAGCGAGAGCGAAGGATAATAGAGAGAACGTGACAGAGAAAAAGACTGACTGACTGACTGACTGAGTTTAGTTTTACGCCGCTTTTAGCAATATTCCAGCAATATCACGGCGGGGGACACAGAAATGGGCTTAACACATTGTGCCCATGTGGGGAATCGAACCCGGATCCTCGGCGTGACGAGCCAACGCTTTAACCACTAGGCTACCCCACCGCCCCGACAGAGAAAAAGAGAAGAGAGTAGGAAAATAAGGGAGAAAGTCAGGAGAAAGATGAGCTGAAGAGAGCGACGGCGAAGGGATTGACGAGAGAGAGAAGGACAGAGAAAGAGAGGAATGAGCTTATCCTTTTCCGTAGTCATTCTAAAGCGGTATCAGATCTCCCCACCACCATGCAACTTCAAAAGCTATCAAATTTATCCGGCAGCCGTGCACCCAAGATGAGACTGACGATGTCGACTTGAAACCACGGAAACAAGGGCTTATTAGCTTACACGCGTACGCAAACCCACCCAAAATTCCAGACATCTTAGGAAAAAACAAATATTGGTCTATATATTATACACAGACGAGCAAATTCCATTCCAATGAAATACAATACGACCTCGTCAATCCGAACACCTCGGTGATTTGTCCACATTAACAGATTGCCGGATAAACAATTGGTAGGCAGTGTCGCTTTGATTATATAAAGAGACGTTCTCAGGAACAGACGTCCACAATGTGGGGGTTCCAGATTAACAAGGTTTGGCTGTATTTGACACTAGGTCCTTGAGGCTGCGTATATGCCTCGTGTTGGTGTATTGTTATCAACCATAGCCTGTAGATCCTCTTTCCTCATCAAGTCAGATCATTTTCTCACCCAGTAATGGCCACTAATGCCCGCTCCACAAGCTGTGATCTATTGGCTCCGTTCTCGAGTTGGCGTTATTGTGTAATACACAAGATATGAATATGTTATGATAAAATGCGCAAACAGAAAAAAATAATGGATGTATTAAACACTCTGCCCATAAACTTTTTGATATATAAGAATAATACATCGGGCTAACTGCATAAAAATTTGAATTTGAAATTGCAAATTGAAATGAGCGTAAATGCAAGCCCTTTTGAGCTGTGGTGGGGTTTCAACTCAACACGATGAACTAAATAAAAGGGTGTCTGCATTTCCCACGCTCTACCCGTGCCCCGCTCGCCGAGGTGTTTTCGTGTGTCGGGTATCGGCGTTCCACGCCACATATATCCCCCAGGTAGAGGGTTGGGGGGACCCAGGTGACGTCTACCTGGCCGCGAGGTGGGGGCGTGGTTTTCCCACACTCCTTCTCAAGCCTGGTCGCGTGCCTTCATTACCATATCAACCACTAGAGGCATGTCCGGACCTGAACCGAGGCCGGACGTGCTCGCGACGTCATTTGAGCCAATCAGAGAACAGCTTGCCACGAGCTGGGCGGAGCCAGCGGGAGCGTGATTGACACGCGAATGGACAAGTGCAGTTCCCACGTAAAGGTAAGACTGTGTGTAGGTATTTACTTGAGTATTCGCGTGACAGGAGACATTCCTTCGCACACCCTTGCTCTCGCGGGTGGACAATTCCGCTACACAAACATGCATTCCGACAAAGTCTCCACAACGGCGGGGGAAACTCGCGACAGAAAAGTAAGTATTGAATATTTACGAATCTTATTTTCAAAGTTACGAATCGACATTCTTTTTTTTCATCTCGAGCGTTTGTCATTATTTTAACAATCTCCACGTCTTGTTCCAGAGCACAAAACCAATCATGGAAAAGAGGCGTCGAGCTAGAATCAACGCCAGCCTGTCAGAACTGAAGTCACTTTTACTCGAAGTCATCAAAAAAGAGGTAAAAAATTACATCTTCAATAAGCAGATGCCCATGCGTCAAAAATATTAAAATGATGAAAAAATCGTTTCTGTAATTTAAAAATGAGAACATGACAATTAAGGATTTATATATTTGAAACACTAATCTCAAAATTTTAACAAATCTGATAAATTTAATGTCTTAAATGATAGGAAAATGTATAGACAAATAAAAACATCAATAAATCACCATTTGCGAAACAGGTGTTTCATGGTGACATTGCGAATATGCTAACGGTGAATGCATGTATACGTTTGATGTTTTCTGTATCGTAAATATAATCATCTTCTGCAACGCTGTTGCGAGACGTTTACGGCCGAATGGCTTGACGACCACTTTCCCACGGTAGCTTGCTCCACGTCTAAATATAAGTACAGTATGTATGTAAGTGTGTTGATGTATAGCACGTGTGTCTACGTTGACAGGGGGGGCGCCACAACAAGATGGAGAAGGCGGACATTCTGGAGATGACAGTCAAACACCTGAGAGAGATCCAGAGACACTCGCTTACAGGTGAGACATTCAATAAAACCTGTTATATTAATATCCATGACGTGTCATTAAACTCAACACGGAACTGACTTTGAAATAGGAATTGCGTTGTGTTTTTAAGTTGCGGGCTGATATTTGTCGTATAATTTGCATACTTTTAAAACTTTCTAAATAGTCGTTTTTTATAAATTAAATGGCAGATAAAAGAAGAAACATATTTGCATAATTTTTATAATTTTTATTTTTCCTTGAGAGGAAATGGGTTTCTGTTTGATAAGTTAGCAAAATAATATATTAAATATTATATATATTTAATTCAATATTATATGTATTTTTATCCACGTAATACAAAATTCGCAATATAGTATTTAACTTACAAGAGGCCAAGTTTATGTTTAAATATTTTTCATTTAATTTTAGCCTCAGTCGGACACGAGCCAATCAACATCGATAAACAGCGACTTGGATTTAACGAGTGCGCACAGGAAGTGAGCAGATATTTAAGTACAATCGACGGATGTGATGTTGAACTCAGAGCCCGTGTTCTAGACCATCTTGCAAGCTGTGTTACTGGTGATGAGACAAGCAGCTCATCGCCTCCACCCCCTGTGACGTCACTTCCGCTAACTCCTCCAACTCCACCAGCGCCACTTCCGGCACAGACCGTTACGACTTCGACAGTGTCTTCGTCCAGTGAACAACCATTAATTCCTCAAACAACGCAATCAATTCCTTTCTCCACGGATATAAACAATAATATCGCTGGATTTACAGCTCCTCAACCTGTCCAAGCAACCAAAGTTGTCAGCGGGCTACAAGTCATACCGACAAAGCTTCAAAACGGAGAAATTGCCTTCGTGTTGCCTACCAACGTGCTCGGCGGCAGTCACGTCCCAAACTACATCATCCCCGTCTACACATCACCCAACACTTCCCCAACGAAGCCGCCCGTTACCATGGCAATGACCGGAGCCCCTACGGCTGGTTCTGTGATGACAATTATGCCTTCTGCGGATGTTTTTCAGACATGCGCACTGGCCCCGTTGCCTGGCAACATAAACATCCTTTCCGGATCTGTGTCATCTCCTCATTCAGTTTCTCCCTGTTCCTCATCAGACTCGTCCATGCTGTCGCTGTCTCCGACATTACGGAACTCTGTGAATGACGTCAGAGATATGCGAGACGTACGTCATCATGACGTCGGAGAGTTACGAGAGGTACGTCATCCGCAAGTTACCGCAGAGCCAGTATGGCGACCATGGCACTGATGTTTGCTTCATCAAAATGCTGGATATGTGATACAAAAGGCCAAAAGTGAGTGATTCCTTCAGTTTACAGAGTGCTATTTCGGTGATGTCCGATGTGGTTATGAATCCAAAGCTCCTGGATTTTCAATGTGATAAACAATTATCAACGGACTTAACCATACAACACATGTGATCAAGCGAGAAAACGACGTCACGCAGTTTATTATTTTATAATATTACAGTGTTTTATACTACTGTTCAATACGAATGTTATGTAATATATAAATGTTTTATTACTGCAAAACTATTGTGTCTGTTTTGTTATTCTCCTGTTCATAAGAACATACAGGTATGCTCGTCCGGCAGTCAGTGGGTACCCGGTAGGATGAGATGGTTACAGGGTGACTGTCACCCTACTTGTGCCTCATGGGCAATTTGGGTTGTATGTACCCCTGAGATAGCTGAGACCCACTTACCGGAGCATTAATGGTGTTAGTGCTATGACAATGAATGGACTAAAGCGCATTACAAAACAATATCCATTTATCAATAGTATTATCATATTTTTGATTTTTTTTAAATATACATTTCACCACAGTGAAACATTTGACTCTAGTAATAAATCTAGAAAGAGCTGGTACCACATAGTTTACACGAAGATTATGTCCAAGAGTTATAAAAACTAAAATTTGGATTTTGGGAGCGTTTGGCAAGTAATCCAGATTCACTTTGTGATTCAAGTGAAATATGCTTTCAAAGCGGCATAAAGATAAACTCACACACCGTTATCGGTAGAACAAATCGGAGTGTTATTTGCATGTAATAATGTTTTAACTGCAAAATTTTAATAAAAATAAAAATTGTTATAAAAATACGTCAAATAAATAAAAATATACAGCGAAGTATATGTGAGTAGGGTGTACGGGTGGGGTGGGTGTTAAAGAGATTGGGTCAGTGCGGACTAAAACTGGATTTATAGCGCAACCCTGCGCCAATATCTGGTCCCAGTATAAATAATGGATCCATAGAATTCTGCCCTCCAGATCAAGTTTTATCTCCTGAATTCCGAGAAAATCTTCCGCTTTCCTGGTACACTCCACCAGACCACGCGGGCGGCTTGCTGCATGCAAAACGGGAACAACAAATAGACACATGATAACGCTGCACAAAGCCGACTTAAATCCACAAACTATTGACCATTGAGTATCATTTTGAATGTATACCTATAAATATGAAAATCTACAAACTGTTGACTATTCAGTGATTATTTTGAATGTGTACCTAGGACTGTGGACCGAAACTCCAGGACATATAATACACCAGGTGGTATCAATAGAAATGTTTGGGTTTTTTTCGTGAAAATGTTTCCTCGAGACTTCATGGTGAAACCTGGCCTCACACCTAACTTCCTGGTTCGTCAATATTTGTCATCGACTCATCTAACAGGAAGCTTCCGCAGATATTCTGAATCCAATCGGTTTGCTTGTCATAATAGGCAATCCCACAGCTTCTTCCGAATTTCTAATTTTGTAACCTGTATCCACCCAGATGCAATTTGAATATTTTACTATTTTACTTCCACGTTTTCCGATTGGTCAAACAACTGACGCGTGACAGCAAATCCTCATCGTACTATCATAACTGAAAATATGTTTTCCTCAAAAATTATTCCTTTGCTCGATGCACCTCTAACAAAGGCAGTGGGATTGGGAAGTACCGTAGTAGTACAGGCGTTCATAGAGTTCGATTGTACATACAAGTACATTACATGGGGACTCATCGCAACATTGCTGGAATCATGGTAAGGTTTCATTAAGGTGAAACAGAACCATGTACTGGTTGCCTTCTTTTGTCAGGAAACACACAAGAGCAGACTGCCATTTCGAACTGTGGGTCGGTAGTGGTCACAAGATTTCCCTGTGGGGTTAATCGTTTCGTGTACTAGCTAATTTGGTTACAGAGAAAGTGTTATAAAGGTTGGTTTTGTTTCGTCACGATACGAGGTTTCACAGGACCACAGATCTGTACTGACTATTGTGTGGACAGTAGGCCAGTATTCCCCTGTTCTATCTGAAAGGAAATCAGTGTTGGACACTATATCAAACAAAAAGTTGATCTTGATGAAAAAGTCTGCATAGATGAGTTTATCAAAGAAAGTTGGCATGGCTGACTGTCCTAAAATATAGTCAGACTGAGTATTGTCCACTCTACTGAAGAGAAAGATAGCGTTTGCATCAAGGATATCAAATAGAAAGCCATTATTATCAAGTTTATAAAAGAGAAAGTCAATATTGTCACGGCTTAAAGAGAGAGTCAATATTGTCAAGGCTATTAAAGAGAAAGACATTATTATTCAGGCTATAAGAAGAGAGTTATTATTAATAAAGGCTATTGAATAGAAAACCATTACTATCAAGACTATCAAAGAGAACGTCATTATCATCAAAGCTATCAAATAGAAAGTCATTATTATCAAGTTAATGAAAGAGAAAGTCAATATTGTCCAGGCTATTAAAGAGAAAGACATTACTCAGGCTATAAAAAGAGTCATCATTAAAAAAGGCTATTGAATAGAAAACCATTACTATCAAGACTATCAAAGAGACAGTAATTATCATCAAGGCTATCAAATAGAAAGTCATTATTATCAAGTCAATATTGTCAAGGCTTAAAGAGAAAGTCAGTATTGTCCAGGCTATTAAAGAGAAAGACATTATTATTCAGGCTATAAGAAGAGAGTTATTATTAATAAAGGCTATTGAATAGAAAACCATTACTATCAAGACTATCAAAGAGAACGTCATTATCATCAAAGCTATCAAATAGAAAGTCATTATTATCAAGTTAATGAAAGAGAAAGTCAATATTGTCCAGGCTATTAAAGAGAAAGACATTACTCAGTCTATAAAAAGAGTCATCATTAAAAAAGGCTATTGAATAGAAAACCATTACTATCAAGACTATCAAAGAGACAGTAATTATCATCAAGGCTATCAAATAGAAAGTCATTATTATCAAGTCAATATTGTCAAGGCTTAAAGAGAAAGTCAGTATTGTCCAGGCTATTAAAGAGAAAGACATTATTATTCAGGCTATTAAAAGAGAGTCATTATTAAAAAAGGCTATTAAATAGAAAGCTATTATTATCAAGGCTATCAAATAAAAGCCAGAGGCCAAAACTTTCAAAGAAAAAGTCAAATCTGTACTGACATTCGGAAGTAAGCAAACACACGTTACAAATATTTGGGGGATTACGGTACGCTTATCGTGTCATGATTAAAGCGATTCTAATTCAAAACTACAGACAGTGTTAAAATCAAGAACGCGAAGGTCATCTAGATATGAATCGTGTAGCATCAGGATACTCTGAGAAAACACCACCTTCAGGACCAGATCAAAGTGGCAATATCACGCTACTGTCACAGAATAGGTTTTCGGATTATGTTCGGAGTAACAGGAAAAATGCAATGAGTCATAATCTATTTAGGAAATTCTTATGGTGTAACACAAAGATGCCACAAAGTAGACCGTGGGAAACATCTGTATCTCTACATAAACCACTGCATAATAGATTTCATGAATTTTAATATAACGTCTGTCAGTATGATGGATGACCTCTTCCTGACACACATTAAAGTCATGTTCTCCAAAATAAAATTACGTTTTTCCTGGCAATTTACTTTTTGCATTTTTCACTTACTGTCCGTTGGTATGAACTGCTCATTCGCTAATGTAAAGATGATTTTAAAAATTAAAAATGTACATCAAAACGTTGAAATTGGGAAAGAAATACATTGTTTCTTTCTTTGAGACTCACTCACTCACTCACTCATGAACGAACGAACGAACGAACGAGCGAGTAAGTTCAACGAAAATCGGATTACACATCCCCGGTAGAGGTTTCTATCTTTAATGTTTATAATGTTGTGAATATGATGAATTACGAATGTAACGAACCGCGAATGCGGGTCACGTGTAATTCTTTACATCTGTAGTTAACAGAACCTGTATCGGTTTCAACACCCGTTCACATCGTGACATGCGACAGGGCGGTTGGCACTATGCCACACAGCAGGTCAGGGATAGATTCTCCACACGGATATCACAAGCGAAGCCCGTTTCTGGGGTCCCCCGCAGTAATACTGACTGACTGAGTATGGTTTTACGCCGCTTTTAGCAATATTCCAGCAACATCACGGCGGGGGACACCAAAAATGGGCTTCACACATTGTACCCATGTGGGGATTCGAATCCGGGTCTTTGGCGTGACGAGCGAACGCTTTAACCACTAGGCAACACACACACACACACACACACACACACACACACACACACACACACACACACACACACAGTAATTTGCCTGAACTATTAGATAGTGACGCTTCAAATGTAATTAATTAAATCAGTCGTAATACAAAAAGAATACAACGTCTACCTTTCTACTCAGTACCAATACAACTCTGCTTTGAGACTACCATTTAAAGGTGGACATCGTGTCACACTAAATGACTCGAAGACGAAAAGTAACACCTGGCCGAAATTCGTCACAATCAAATTTCATTTTCACACACGTCTGTGGTTCAATATTTTGATTTAATTCAACACACAATACAAATGATACACTCCATGGACTTTTTTTTATGTTTGTTTCTTTTTTCCCCTTTTTAGGTTTGGTGGGGTTTGTCGTGCTTTTATTTTTTTCTCTCTTTGTTTTTGTGGAGGTGTTATTTTAAATGTACTCTCAAGATTCAAGATTTATTATTTAGACCACCAAAGGTGGTATAAGTGTAAAGTACAGGGTAATATACTCATGCCAATAATAGTTGTCACCCCTCCCCATCCCAACCCCCACACACACACACCACACACTCTCCAATTAAATAAATTGAAGGGGTGACAACCATTATTGGCATGAGTATATTATAATATAGATGGCAGTGCATATAATTGATACAACAAACATGATAGAGAAAAGCTGTAAAACCCTTGTTGCTATAATATTTTATAAATTCTGCAAGGGATTCCAGTTCTTTTCTTTTACAAGAAGAAAAGAGAAATTTGAAAGAGTGGGGACTGGCATTTTTGGTAATACTATATTTAATTGGTATAAGATTTTTTCTTTGAATTTCCAGTGATATTCAGCGAAAAATGTAATGGATTTCATCTGCTATGGCTGATGAGTTACAAAGGATGCAAGTTCTATATTCTTTTGGTGTATTGGTCCAACGACCTTTTTCAATTGGTAAGTTTATGATTTCTAGTCTCAATAGCTGCATATAAGTCGCTACAGCGTCCAGACCA